TCAAAAATCAACTCATGGAAATTGAGGAGGGCTCCGAACCCTCCCCAATTCTCATAACCCAAGAATTGGAGGACAATCTTCTTGGTCGCCTTCTGCAGATGTGGGGAGTCTTCGGGAAAAAACCAAACCAGAAGACGAAACCACTCCAATGGAGGTGACGGAGAAGATTGAGGAATTACGTCTAAAACCCCCCAAAATATCTGGAGCACAAAGACGCAAAATGGCTATTCAAAGAGCCAAACAACGGGGGGAGCCTGTCCTGAAAAGATCAGGAAAGGAAAACAAAACCCAAATGTACACTTCTAGACTCCGGCACTAGGGCGAACCACTGGAAGTGTTGACCCCAAAAAACCGGGGCCAACCCCAACCAAAAGTGGCAAAAGGGGCAGGTCACTGGGTAGCACCCCATCATCAAGTGGAAGTGAACATTTGTTCTTTGAAAATCCTGTCCCTAAGTAATTTACAGCTCCCTGAAGTTTTGTCTTTTCTGTAGAGCGAAATAAGTTGAAGGTTGCACGGATCCCTACTTGTCTAATTAATAAGTCCAAAACTTGATCAAATTACGGTTTTGTCATGATTATTCTAAAATATAGGAAAATCAACTTTGCTACACTTTGTGGATTCTGTCAATAATGCCTTTGTCAAAATTCCGTAAAAAAAGTGTTAATTTATTTTTGTTTTATACTTAATAAAAATATTTATTTCATTGAACAATTCGTCATTTTTTTCACATAACAACCCTGTAATTCAGGCAATCAACCTTTACGATTGGCCCTGGCGCTGGCACACCGAAATTCGAAAAACCCGCCAACGCATGGAATTATGGGTAAGACAAATTTGGTGATGAAGAGGGGTGAAGCGTGAATAAGAACTTTTAGTGACTGGGGAATTTTTGGTGGCCGTGACAAGGGCCGATAGTGTTTGGAAGCGTGGCATTAGGACGACGTATCGAGGCCGGGACCGAGTGTGGTGTGCCTGTTGGTAGATAGAGCAGTTAGCTGAGGTCCGAGGACGTGTCGGATGACTACATCGGTTGATGAGACTCTGGTGCAGTAGTTGGCCAAGTGCAACGGTTCGCCTGTGGCCAAGTCATATAATATATGACATAATAACATATTATGTTGAGAAGGCGAGTTCGAGGTGAAAGTTGAGAGTACTCTTGCCATCGTCGTAGGTGCTTCATTAGTGATAAGCGAGAACTCGTCGGGTTGACGAGTCTGCTGTCGTCGATTAGTTAGAGTTCGTCGGGTTGACGAGTCTGCTGTCGTTGTCGATAAGTGAGAGTTCGTCCGGTAGACGAGTCTGGAGGTATGGAGACACCTTGTCGGGTTGAAGAGTCTCAAGCTAGTCCCTTACTGATTCGCTGCAGAGTGGAGATCGAGACCATTCCAGAACCGGTAGTGACACCTAACTGGTACCGTGGTAACCGTAGGTTCTCACTACAAATTATTCATTTTACTGAGAAAGCGATGTTGATCCAATCCTAAAAATGAGCGGTTTTACTCATCTCACTCTTAAATATGTTTTTCCTATTTACATATCATACATTGAGTGTTGGGGAGTACTTGATATTCCTCCATCACCCTCTACACATGTTGTACAACTAACCTAATCAAGAATTACTCAATATTCCGCCATAGGCCCCTCACAATACACATTCACGCTAATAAATACATTCTCAGTCTTAATACACACAAAGAAACACAATACGAGATATCTATAAATACTATACAGGGTGAATTGCTACTCGTGCTACAAACTTCTCCAGTAGATTCTTCACCCTAAAATGAACAAAAAAGTTCATATTGTCCATGGTCCGATTCTCAACCATTTCAGAGTAATTTCGCTTTTTATCGATTTTGAAAGATATCACGTCCTGGCGTCGGAAAATCGTGATATCTTTTAATCTAAACATTTCTCTGAAAATCTAATAGCACCGTTGAAATTCCCGTTAATTTTTCAATAAGAAGATGACGGTGGCAAAATGTTTGGGCTAATTTTTTGTGTTTTATTTCAGCCAGAACTACAAAAAGAGTGGAAAATTGTGTAAATCGGAAAGTGTATAAAGTAATCCAGAGTTTCTAATTTTAGTCTCAGAAGGCAGCAAATTTGAGGAAAACTACCTGATTTAATAACGCTTCCAACGCACTCGTCATTTTCTTATTTAGTGGTTGTGAGACCAAGATGTTGATGACAAAAAGAGAAAAAATGGTGGTTCAAGGATTGCTAATGTTTGAGAGTGACTTGCTACTCGTGCTACAAACTTCACCAGTAGATTCTTGACCCTAAAATGAACAAAAAAGTTCATATTGACCATGGTCCGATTCTCAACCATTTCAGAGTAATTTCGCTTTTTATCGATTTTGAAAGATATCACGTCCTGGCGTCGGAAAATCGTGATATCTTTTAATCTAAACATTTCTCTTAAAATCTATAAGCACCGTTGAAATCCCCGTTAATTTTTCAATAAGAAGATGAAGGTGGCAAAACGTTTGGGTCTTTCTTCCTTGACCTTCTAGCTGTTTGTAAACTTCTTAAGCATTACATACTAAATGGGCATTAAATTAAATTAAAAAATTTCAATGGAATTATGATTTTGATTCTCTCTAAAAATTAACGGGGATTTCAACGGTGCTTATAGATTTTAAGAGAAATGTTTAGATTAAAAGATATCACGATTTTCCGACGCCAGGACGTGATATCTTTCAAAATCGATAAAAAGCGAAATTACTCTGAAATGGTTGAGAATCGGACCATGGACAATATGAACTTTTTTGTTCATTTTAGGGTGAAGAATCTACTGGAGAAGTTTGTAGCACGAGTAGCAATTCACCCTGTATACAGTAAAATAGTCCTTCATCTAAAAATCTGAACAGGGGACCCAAATACTCGCTGACGTGCTCAAGCAAAATTCTCATGTCGGGTGTCATTCCTACAAGTTATATATACGGAACTAAGGAAGTTTTATCCCAAAATTAAGCGTCCGTGTGACAACACCGCATGGCCTATTCTTAGTCGTTTGCTTAATTTTTTTTTAAATTTCTTGTAAGGAAAGATTTAAGACAACGAAATCTATCTGGAAAGTTGGCAACGAAAGAACAAAAATAATATTTGAGTAATTCATCAACTGGCTGATTGTGTTTTTCAAAAAGCGTCCCAATATGTACAACGATCAAATATAAAATTTACTCACTGCTGATTGAATATGGATAGAAACTGTAAGATATGGAATGGATTAGGTATGTTATCAACTAAAAGAATAGTTAATTTTGTTGCCTTCCTTAAATCATTTTTATTTGTACTGAGAGTTAGTTTTTTTATTCCTGTAATAAACTAACTAAAGTAATAGTAATACATATCGAAAGGGTCGGCTTGATTTGTAAGACTCTTGGATGTAGGCCGATCATGGCAGAGGATCACTTCACAGCAGAAAATTTGTCCTCTGACCGCAGTCATGAATGTCAGAAAGGGTTCAATATTTTGGATGAAAATGTCGTCCATCCTTTGTTAGTTTATACTCCGTGCTATTTCCCTTGCCACATAAACTGTCAGGAACATTTTGAAAATGGACGACATCGTTCCGTCTTAAATTCACAAGAAGAAAGAGGTAATCCTTTTACAATTTTTTTTTTTTACAAATTAGATAGTTTTCTATTGTTATGTTGGATTATGTTCATATATCTAACGTCAGGGCCGAATCAGGTTTTGTACCAAGCTGTAATAACAACATATTTTGTACCAATAATGATGGGCAATATTTACATTTATAAGGATTGTTAACATCTCGGTCCTATCTCTTGAGGCTATTTAAAATAAGATGTTAATAAAACTTATGGTCAGAAATCTGGAATGGATAGAACAACGAAGTACCATGTACTTTAATTAGGCTGATAATGTATTCGTCGGTAATTAACTCGATTGTACTCGAAAAGCTCCAATCGTCCAGCGGAATCGCGTGAGATGTGCCATTTCCCACGATTCGATTGTCCGTATCGGATCTGCAAGTCCAAATATTTACGGTAAACGTGATGGAACGATTTCGGACACGGTAACGGCCTATTTAGCCTCAGTTATCTCTACAATTTCGACGGTATATCGATCGTCGCCCCTTCGAGAGGCCCTCGGACGGTACTCCTATCTCGTACGCAGGTGATCTACAGGTGGTTCGAATCCGCATGTCGACAACGTGGACTGACCGGACAACCGTTTTGAAAAGTCAAATTTATAATTTTTTTTGTAATCTTCCTCCTAGAAAAGTCAATGGAATAAAAGGCAAACCACATCTAACAGCGAAATTCATGCTGAACATGCATAGCACAATAATCTACAAGCAGTTAGTAAAAAAAAACGTTTGAAACGTAAAATAATCTGTGCCATGTTCAGATACAGATATCTAGTAAAAAAATATTGTTTTCTGTATATAGATAAATGTTGCAATTTTTCTTTCAATAAATATAATAATTTTCGGTCAGTTGTACGTGTCTAGAATGCCTTGAAAATGATGAGTTTTAAATGTCCTTCCACCACAGTAACGTTAAACCAAAGTGTTAAATCTCAGGCAAGTTAAAGAATTATCAAAATAACCAGGTCGACCATTTTTTTGGTTAGGTTATTAAAAACTGGAATATTTAAAGAATAATAAAATTCTCATTAAAAAATCCACATAATTTTCTCTTAACCAAAGAAAAGATACGATAATCGGAACACTGAACATCTTTTAAAATGACTTGAGTAATAAAAATTTCAAGTTGTTATCGTATTAAAATCATAATCTGGATCAAGTAATTTTTCCAGGGGATTCGAGAATATTAATGATTTTATCACCTTGCGATCATTTTGTTTGAAGATTTATCGTTTATGATAAATGGATTGTGTTGTAGGTTGGACGGGTAATGTCATAGCCGTGTGCTCTCTAGAGAGATAAGTCCAGAAAGAAACACCGAAAGCGATGAAAGAAATTTTTTTTATCGTATTGGATAAAATGCCGAGGGAAAACTTACCAGTTCGATGTCAATGGCGCCACGAGGATCAAACCTGACCTTCTCCTTTGTTGGACCCAGCCTTAGCGCACAGCTCGCCCTGAAATGAAATCAAAAAAGAAAAATGATAAAAATTCTATTAGGTTCTATAGAGAGATCAGCTTCTTAAAGATTACAGGAATGGTTTCTTTCGATTTTCGCCCTTCTAGAGTCATTCCTCTTTATTATGGGCATTATTTATGGGCAAGAAAGTATACATACGAAATTGTGGCGTTTTAAGCGGGGGACACACTTACCGGATGCAACGCTATGCGACGCAAATTCAAAGTCCGCGGTAGCCGAGTGGTTAGCATGAGAGACTCTCACGCCGCGGTCGTGGGTTCGATTCCCACCGTCGCCTCTGGCCCTTTTTTCCCGATAACCCTCAATTTGAACACACAAGAATTCGTACTATGGCTAATATGCAAGATCATAAGGCCAATAAAAAAAAGAGGTATCTTGGGCTACTGGGTTACTTGGAAGTATCGGTTTGTTAGGNACCGTCGCCTCTGGCCCTTTTTTCCCGATAACCCCCAATTTGAACACACAATAATTCATACTATGGCTAATATGCAAGATCATAAGGCCAATTAAAAAAAAAAAAAGTCCATTTTTCCATAAGATTGTATTACTCCCCCGTGCACATCTGCCCGATGCCACGCAACGCTACCCTCCTCTACGCTCTGCGATCCTCAATGTCCAGATTTTCGTCGGGTAGCATCGAGTATAGTCGAAGACAAAATAACCGGACACATATTATTATTCAAACTGCATGTATTATTGTCGTTATATTAATTACAATATACTTATTTTAATATAAACCAAATTAAACAAGATAAAAATTCGTTATTTTTTTTTTAAAAAAAAAATTAACTAACAATTCATTTGACACGGTTTTGCTCATAAAATTTAACTAACAATTTATTTCATGGTTTTGCTCATAAAATTACACCGTTTTCGTCGAGAAGCTTCAGAACAGGCCACTCAAATTTTTTGGAGTTTATTTCAAACCAAGTATATGTAATTTTGTCGTTATATTAATTACAACATTCGTATTTTAATGCAAACCAAATTAAACGATATCAAAAATTCATAAGTTTTTATAAAAACTGTTTAATTATGATGGTTAGGAAGAAAATTTATCAAAACACCGGAATAACTTTAATTAAGACAATTAAGTTTATTTAACAAACTATTTATTACATGGCTGTGCTCATAAATTTAACTAACAATTTATTACACGGTTTTGCTCATAAAATCTGTCCAACAATTTATTACACGGTTTTGCTCATAAAATTTAACTAACAATTTATTTCGTGGTTTTTCTAATAAAATTACACCATTTTCGTCGAGAAGCTTCAGAAGAGGACACTCACATTTTTTGTAGCTTATTTCAAACTATGTATATGTAATTTTGTCGTTATATTAATTACAACATTCGTATTTTAATGCAAACCAAATTAAACGAGATGAAAAATTCATAAGTTTTTATAAAGATTATTTAATTATGATGGTTAGGAAGAAAATTTATCAAAACACTGGAATAACTTTAATTAAAACAATTATGTTAATATACAATTTATTATATGGTTTTGCTCAAAATAATGCATTAAGAACAAAAGAGGCGTTGCGATTGTGATACTGATTTGTGATACACGCTGTGTGACTGTACGTGGCATGTGCTTGACGTCGCATAGATGTGCACACCCTACCAAACGTGGCAATCCGTCGGGTAGCATCCGGTAGCGTCGCATAGCGTTGCTGTTTTTGTTTGTGTGTTTCCGCTTTAATGTTTTTTTTCTTTTGGTTTTTATACACGCTCCATTACAACTAAAATCTAAAAATCTTAAACACAAACAGTTAATTTAAATAGCTCCATAGAGTTGAGAAAACAGCTCTTTTCAAGAATCGGATCAAAATAGCTCACCCAGTAAAATGTGTCAACCCTTTTTTATGGCTCACCTCTTGCGCTTATCAAATGTGTCTTAACCATAATTCCAAGGGGCAAAATTTGGCTGGTTTTCCGAAATTCGGTGTGCCAGCGCCAGGACCAAACGTAAAGGTTGTTTGTCTGAATTACAGGGTTGTAAAATGAAAGATATGAAAAGACACGATTTAAACCTTTTGTTTATTATTGCCATTAATACATTTCAATTACAAAAAAAAGCAAAGAAGGTTGAACAGCTCGTCATTTAATAATAATAATAATAAAGGCACTTTATTTGTTACCAACCAATATTGTACAATTAAATTACAGCTATTAAATAAATACCATTACGGCATGGAAAATTCCGTCTGTAGGAGGTGAAGGAAAACATAAACAGGGCAACATTTGTCCTCGATACGACTGTATAAACTCGGACCCGCATTCCAACCTCTTAGTCCAAAACCTTTCTTCCTGACCTTTCCCGATAAAGCTCCAAGACGATATCAAAAGAGATCCTCCAGTATCTTCTAGTCCAAACACGGACTGACCAATCTTTTTAAATAGTATTAGTTAATAATCTGAAAGTGGTTGATTCAGAAATGGCACAGATTTTAAGGGAAGAAAAACTGGAAAATTAAGACTGTGTATAGCGTTGAAAGTGGGGAGTTTGAGAATCTTGGTAACTTTGTTCTTTCATAGTTTATACTACGTTATAAACTTCCCCCTTAGAGGATCCGGAGAGAGATGTTCGCTAAGAAATCTTTTCTGAACAGACTGCGAAAAAGCCGGTCGCGGCATCCCAACCGACTCGTCGTGACAGCCAACTCACTTATTCATTATTTATTCGAATGAAAAACAGACCGTTCCCGTAGGAATGAGAGAAAAATCCGCGGACCTTATAAATAAACATTTCAATTTCGAGAAAGAAAACGCTAAGCGGCGGTGAAGAAAGAGGATTCTATACACCCCAGCACGGAATTTCACAAAAATATCTTAACATTCGTGACTCCATGGATGACAGCTCCGATCGATCCGGGCAGAACCATCGACCGGTACCAAAATACCGCCACTGTCTTACTAAATCGTATTTTTATATCTCGTCTTTCGAAGAAAAAGAAAGGATCGCGTACATAGTCGATTATTTTGATGCCACTGTCTTCTTGGCGCAGCGGGGTCGTGGAGGATTGTTAGGGTGGGACATTGGAAAGAGGGTTTGACCATGGAAGGAAAGCTTGGAGTGAAAGTTGTGGAATCGGATCATATTCGTGACCAATGGAATGTCTAGGTTTTGTGAATGATTTAATGTTGGGCGTTCGTCTGCAAGTCGGTGAAGTCATGCTGAGAACCAGCATTGGGTCGGTCTTCACTCAAGGGTTTGTTGAATTACTCAAACGCGTTTCGGCATTGCGCCATCTTTAGTGAGGAATTGTCTGTCCCTTCGTCCGAGTAGGGTTTATATGCCATTGGCTGAAAGGTTTGGTTGGTGACGTAAAAGAGAGCGTTGACAAACAGCACGTTCTGGAAAGTCCGAATCGGTCCAATAATTCAGTTGTTATTGTTAATTTATTGTGTATACTCAAAGCGGATTTACGTCCAATTGGCGTCTGGGTCGTCCGTATCTTCGATTGAGTTCGTCATTTTTGTTTTGTCGTCTGCGAAGGTTGTGGTTTGGGTGTTAGGAGTATAGGTATGTCTATGTAGAGGATTGGTCCTAGGTTACTCCATTGGAGATCTCTAACCTTAATCTGAAAGGACTTCGCGATGAGACAGTAGGCTGAGAAAGGATACTTTTTAATTTAAGTCTGCTGTCTAAAGAACCCAAGGTAGCGTATTGGTTGGATGATTACCACTGTATATGTGCACTGCTCTGCTAAGTGTGAAATCAACATATTTTAAGAAAAGACCACTCGGCCTATTGATCAGCAAAAGGAAAATTTATTGAGGCCAGGTCTATCAGCAGGGTGTAGTGAATTTTGAAATGACTTTCTTCAACTCCCTAAATCAACACCAAATGTGAGGCTTGAAAGTGAAATAGTGCAGTTATAAGTACAAGTCTTTAATCGTATATTTACAAGGTTGGTTATTTAAAAAGGAAAATGTCAGAATTCAATAACTACGCTATAAACAGTGGATGACTGTGATGAAGAACATCAAGATTCTTTTTAATTAGTGCATATACCTCAGAGGATAGCTACTTAAAAATGGACAAGACAGCATGTGTGATAGCCAGGACGCTGATATAGTAAAAAAAAGGGCAAAAAGGATACGACAAATTCTTAATAATCTGATCTAGTCCATAAAATTTAACCGATGGTTGGTGTCACTTGGCGGCTCTTTTGTTCGTTTAGCTTAATGCGCTACCGAGTGTATCAGTCTGAATGAGTCTAGGTTCTTGGGTTGCTTCTGCTGCAAGGATAGGGTCAGAGTGTATCGTTCGCGAAGGTTGTGATTTGGGCGTTAGGGTGTTTAGATATGACAGCGATGTAAACTGTGTAGAGGGTTGGCCCTAGGATAATCCCTTGGAGATAGGGCTTTGACACTATTCCCTTGGAATGCACGGCCAGGGAATAGTGTTTTCGCTTCTGAGTAACGAGAACTTCATTAGACAAACTAAACCTTTAAAAAGGCAGATGCACAAAATGGGCACTGTTACCGGCACATTTATGAAAATTTGGTTAGCTAAGTGGAGAAGCTAGATTCATTAGCATTACGACGAAATTATTGAATTGAGTTCAAATCTATCCCTTTCTTCGAAGAAGCTGAATGTTATTTCTGCTCAAAAATCTTTCTACGAGCTTATTACGGAAAGCAGACGGATATACCTTGACTTGTCTACTTGCGTTACTTACACTATCAAACAGGATGACACAAAACCTGCAAAGAATAATCTCCCTAAAATTAAACTTCCAGTTTAAGATGGAGAAATTGAGCACTGGCCAAAATATATTGCTTTGTTTAACACACTAGTGCATGAAAATAAATCTCTCACAAGTTTAACAAATGAAGCTCTCTCTGTAGTTTCGGACTTTCATATCAGTCCGGACAATTATAATGCAGCTTACCAGGCTTTACTAGAAAGACATCAAAATTCAAGAATTCTCGCCAACGTGTATATACACCGAATTCTGACATTT